CCTCCTTCCTCCTCCTCCTCCTCCTCCTCCTCCTCCTCCTCCTCCTCCTCCTCGCTCCTCTCCTCCTCCTCCTCCTCCTCCTCCTCCTCCTCCTCCTCCTCCACCCTCCTCCTCGCTCCTCCTCCCTCCTCCGCATCCCTCCTCCGCCTCCTCCTCCTCCTCCTCCTCTCCTCTCCTCCTCCTCCTCCTCCTCTCCCCTCCTCCTCCTCCTCCTCCTCCTCCTCCTCCTCCTCCTCCTCCTCCTCCTCCTCGCTCCTCCTCATCCTCCTCCTTCCCCCATCCAACTCACGGTGGTGGTGATGGAAGACAGGCCCATCATCTTCCCGTGGAGGGGAGGGGGTCGGATTCGGACTCGGGTACGTTGCGTGCTCGACCACGGACCCCTTGGAACCCATCGCTCCTCGGCCGTCTTCGGCGCTGTTTCGGCGGCCTTTGGGCGGCTTTCGGCGGTCTTCGGCGGCCTTCTGACGGTCCTCCGCGGTCTTCGGTGGTCTCTGGCGGTTTTCGGCGCGAAAGCTGAGCGGCTGCGCTCAACCAGGAGACCATGATCGAACACCTGAGGTGCGCCATCGACGAGTACAATTCAACTTCAAAGCTGCTGTCGCTTGCAACCTCTGTGTGCCGCCGCCCGCCACCGTCGTGCACACCCTCTGCGTGCCGACGCGCGTCGTCGTGCAGATCTTCCGCTTGCCGACGGGCGTCGGCACGCAGAGCGTGCTGCGTCGCTGCGGTTCCAGATCGCGAACGATACTGAAGCCAAAGCATGTTCGCAGATGGCTGGGCGAAGGAGCGCGCCCCCACTCCAGGCGGCGGATTGATCCGAAGCCAGCGGGACGAGGGAGCAGAGATCAAGGAAGGAGTGACAGGAGGAGGGAGATAGCGCGGTGTGAAGGCGTCTGGACGGGGGGCAGGCAAAGGGGGGGGGAGGAAACCATCGGAAAAGGGTGGTGGGCAGAGAAGGGGAGGAAGAAGAAGAGGATTGGAAATAGCGAGATTACACTCCCACCGTGCCCCTCAACTGCATTCATCTCCAGCCCCCCCTCTCCCGTTCCACTTTGCGTCCCTTGCCCCATCCCCATTGACGATTCACCAAAAAAACACCCTTTCCCCTCGTCCATTCCCCCTATCCGCCCCCGACCTCGCCATCTTCGTCCCGAGTCCTCCTCGCCACCTCCTCCTCCTCCTCCTCCTCCTCCTCCTCCTCCTCCTCCTCCTCCTCCTCCTCCTCCTCCTCATCCTCCGCTTCCTTTTCCTCTTCTGTCTCCTCCTCCTCCTCCTCCTCCTCCTCCTCCTCCTCCTCCTCATCATCATCATCATCATCATCATCATCATCATCATCATCATCATCATCATCACATCATCATCATCATCATCATCATCATCATCATCATCATCATCATCATCATCATCATCATCATCATCATCATCATCATCATCATCATCATCATCATCATCATCATCATCATCATCATCATCATCATCATCATCATCATCATCATCATCATCATCATCATCATCATCATCATCATCATCATCATCATCATCATCATCATCATCATCATCATCATCATCATCATCATCATCCGCAGCCATTCTCATCCACCTGCTCCACCCTGCCCTTCTTCTTCTGCCTTCCCCTTCCACTGAACCGCCTCCTTCTCCCTCCTTTGCCACGACCAGGGAGACCCCCTCCCTCCTTGAGGGGTTCTTTCCAGGGCCCACCTTGATCTTCACGCCATGACACAGCGCCTGCACGAAGGCGGGGTCCATCCTTCGAGGGGCAAGCGATGGAAGTGGCTCGCAGCCTGTCATAGTAAACACGTTCAAGCAGACCGACACCCAACCACACACACACACACACTTTCTCCAGCGGCCGAATGACGCCAATACAGCGAATGCTCAAAACGAGAAACGCTAAAGCATAATGCCACCAGACGTTGCATGTGGTATACTGTGCAAGGACAGTTGAAGCAGGTCGGCATGGAAAGGTGCCCACCAGGCGTTGCGGGCAGCTGAATGCTGTAAATGAACGCACGTGCCAAAATCATCCTGGCGAAGGTCCCAACCATATGCAGTTGAGGGTACCGTAATTGTGAATATCTGCTTCGGTGAAGCTCCCTATGGGGCCACGAAGCGCTGCACTGGGCGGGGGGATCGCTGTACTGTGTGGGTGATGTGCCGAATTGGGTTTCCGGAACGCATGCGGACGGTCCCACTGAGAGCTTTGGTGGAGTTCCCTATGGGGCCACGAAGCGCTCTACTGAGTGAGTGAAAATGCCAAATTGGGTTACTGGGACGCATGCGGACGGTCCCACTGGGGGCTTCGGTGGAGCCCCCTTATGGCGACACGAAACGCTGCACTGCGCGGGTGAAATGCCAAATTACATTTCCCGGACGCATACGGACGGTGGCACTGGGGCCTTGGGTGGAGCCCCCTATGGGGCCACGAAACGCTGCACTGCGCGGGTGAAATGCCAACTTGGGCTTCCGGGACGCATACGGACGGGGACACTGGGGCCTTCGGTGGAGCTCCCTATGGGGCCACGAAACGCTGTACTGGGTGTGAAACGCAGGGAGAAGGGGGAGGAGGGCCACGAAACGCTGTACTGGGTGTGCGGGACGCATGCGGACGGTCCCACTGGGGGCTTCGGTGGAGCTCCCTATGGGGCCACGAAACGCTGTACTGGGTGGGTGAAACGCAGGGAGGAGGAGGAGGAGGGCCACGAAACACTGTACTGGGTGTGCGGGACGCATGCAGACGGTAGCGCTGGGACCTTCGGTGGAGCTCCCTATTGGGCCACGAAACGCTGTACTGGGTGTGCGGGACGCATGCGGACGGTAGCACTGGGACCTTCGGTGGGGCTCCCTATAGGGCCAAGAAACGCTGTACTGGGTGGGTGAAACGCAGGGAGGAGGGGGAGGAGGGCCACGGAACGCTGTACTGGGTGTGCGGGACGCATGCGGACGGTAGCACTGGGACCTTCGGTGGAGCCCCCTTATGGGGCCACGAAACGCTGTACTGGGTGTGCGGGACGCACGCGGACGGTAGCTCTGGGACCGTCGGTGGGGCCCCGTATGGGGCCACGAAACGCTGTACTGGGTGGGTGAAACGCAGGGAGGAAGAAGAGGAGGGCCACGAAACGCTGTACTTGGTGCGCGGGACGCATGCGGACGGTAGCACTGGGACCTTCGGTGGAGCTCCTTATGGGGCCACGAAACGCTGTACTGGGTGTGCGGGACGCATGCGGACGGTAGCACTGGGACCTTCGGTGGAGCTCCCTATTGGGCCACGAAACGCTGCACTGGGTGTGCGGGCCGCATGCGGACGGTAGGGAGGAGGGGGAAGAGGAGGAGGAGGAACGCGGGGACCGTCTCTTCAAAACGAGGACCACAGGATGGTTGGGAACAACCACCAAAGACAGCGCATGCAGGTCGTGCAAAAAATCGTGAATACCTTAGCACGCACATACATTCACAAACAAACACACACACACACACTCGCGCGCGCGTGTTGGTTCCTCCAGCGCGCCGATGAGTGCAGCCAGCGGGTCAGATAGACTACACACAAACACTCGCAAAACCACCACAATGACACACACACACACACGCACACACACACACACACACACACACACACACACGCAAGCACAACTTGTCCACACGCGGAACTGCAGAGAGAAAAAAACGAGAGAAAGACAGAAAGAGGGAGATAGAAGTAATCACACTCGTGTGTGCACTCCTGGTTACGTGTACCGTTTATAAATGGATATATATATATATATACACACATATGCTAGCCAGCGTGGGCCCCAAATCGTGTGTTTCTAACCATCTACGTTGCGCAATCTATGCGGTGCAATGAGTGTAGCGATCGTGGATGCGATTAACTTTTGTTCGCAGTGAGTTGTCAACTCCCCTGCTCGCGCAATCATCCCACCCACTCACCCGCAACGTGGTTTGCAAAACCCATGCGTCGGCGATTGCGATGACTGCTTCGCTGGTTTGTCGCAGCGACGCGAGCGGATCACAAAGCGTCAAGCTACCTGCTGGACCGTGGCAAAGCGAATTGCACATCGGGGAGGCTGGAAGCGTAAAGACGGGCTGCGAAGGATGAAGAGTGGAAGAGGCGCGTTCAGAACATGTAGCACGATCCTACTATCCGAAGGCACCGCGCAGCCGAAATTTGTGCGCGATGTGTCGCACAACGCATGCGCCCAGATTTTATTCCCAGCACGTACCGTGCGGTCATCTCGAGGTCATCGGGCGATCCGTCGCCAAACGGTTTTAGAAATCCTGATGTGGCTGGCTCAGCGCCACCCTGACGTGATTCAATAGACGGGGACTTTGGTCGATGCAGGAAAGCGGCGCCGGAGGAGAACAAGGAGGCGGTGGAGGAGCAGGGCAGGATGGGGAGGGGGACGAGGGGGAAAAGAGAGTGGGGCCTGGCTCATGAGGGGAGCAGTTACATGGAATGGGGCAGACATCGCCGACGGATCGGCGATAGGACCCCGATAGCGAGACCCCCCGCTACCGGACGGGACAGGGGGCCCATGCCATGATCGGCGAGGAATGAGCGGTTGGGGGTCGATACCTTCCCCCCCCTCCTGTCGCTGCCTCTGGGGGAACAAGTGGAAGGAGACTGAGAGGGCTTAGCGTACACCAGGAAAGCTGGCGTGGTCTCCTGCGTGGTATACGCTGCGGTGCCCGATGGGCCGTAGCGCAACGTGGAGGGCAGCAGGTTGGGGTGACGTCGTTTGCTGTTTGGTCGACTAGGGGCGGGAAGCCCTAGGCGGGCGGTGTGTGCGAGGTCTTCCTCCCCGGCGGGCGAGGGGGTGCGCAGGAGCCCCCAAGAGATGGCTGAGGGCACGTCGCCGACTCCCAGGGAGGCCCCGCCCAGCTGAGCAGGCACCCTCTCGCGGATGCGGGCTTCGGGTCCTGACGAAGGTCGTCGCGCCCATGAGCCTGCTGAAGAGCATTTTCCTGTCGACAACCTGGTTGTCCTCGGATGTACCCACCGGTCGGAAGAAGCAGGCAAAAGCATGAAGTCAGAAGGCGGCTACAGTGGATTGGGTGCAGGCCCCCCCAGAGAATTACAGAACACATCAAAGCATATCGTTTCTTAAAGTAGGAAGGCACCAGAAGTAGATTGCCAGAAATGCCTGCTTTCAACGACCGACGGGTACCGGCTCTAAACGGAATGGCGTGCAGGACTGGAGACAAGGGGTGGTAGCATTGGGAACATAAGACGATGGGGGCTGAAGGGGAGGGGAAGGAGCGGGGGGGGGGGGCAAGGGGAAGAGTGGGAAGGAGGGAGAGGGGGCAGGGAGGGGAGGAGTCAAGGAGACAGGAATACTACACAGAGCCAGAGGAGGTGTAGAGAGGGTGAGGTTCTGGCCAAAACGGCCCCCGGACCTCTCCAGGATTGCGTTTTCACGAGCAGTTGCAAAATGCAATCTCCCGACCTCCAACCTGAAGCCTGAATTCCCAAATATCCGACGTCGCAATTTCGGCGATCCTCGAGGGCCGACCCTCGAGCCTCGAGGAGGAGGAGGAGGAGGAGGAGGCGGAGGAGGAGGAGGAGGAGAAGGAGGAGGAAGAGGAGGAGGAGGAGGAACCCCGATAATCAAAGGTCGACCCTCGAACCTCGAGGGCGAGAACTCTCGATCCTCGAGGGTCGATCCTCGCAGAACCACGAGCCTCAGGGAGCAGGAGAAGCCGGGGGCACGGAGGAGGGCACGAGCCGTCTTCACCGGCGGACACCTTCGCCAGCGGCCAAAGTTCAAGGGGCCCTGGGACACACAAAGAAACAGACACAAATGACCAGATTGCCCCCCATGTGTTCCCATAGCTTCTGGGTTCTTCGTCTTCCCCCCCCCCACACACACTTCCCGCATGTTCCCATATTTCCCTGACTACCTACCAGACCACCCCAACCCAACCCGAAGACCCGCATCTGACCCGAATTTCGGGTTGGGGGGGTTACGGGTTCCATGTGTTCTTCCAACGTTCCCCGACCCCCCCCCACACTGGAAATGGACGGCAAATTGAGGCCTTCGGGTTGGGTTGGGGTGGTTTGGTAGGTGGTGATTTCCTGGGAGTCGACGATTGATTTGTGTCTGTGTGTCTCTCTCCCTCCTGAAAAAGGCCGCCGGGGGGCCGAAGACAGCCGCGCGCGGTTGGCGGCGGAGAGGCGGCCGCGGGCGAGGGCGGCCGCGGGCGCGAGGACGGGCGCGGGCAGAGACGCGCACACACAGTCGGGGCGTTGACCTTAAGGAACCCTAAATAAGGAACGAGGCCCCTGTTTTCCATGAGTTAAGCGTCGATTGCATATCGAAGACCTAGGGAAAGCCCGAGGCAAGCTGCGAGACAATCAAGGAGCACGGAGCCCCTCCCAAACGAAAAGGGTTCCTTCTTCAGGGCCCCGACTGTACGACGCTCGGGCAAAACAGCACAACTCTGCCGCCAGGCTTCCTGTCCCGTCCTGCTCCGCCGCCGTAGCAGCTTCAATAGAAGAGAGGTCGACGAATGGCCAGTGAACAAGGTGTCGGCTGGACCGCCCCATCCGCCAGCACACGCAACGACCACAGCAAGGCAGATCGCGGCTGCGGAAGAACAAGGAAGCAAAAAAAAAAAATGCCAAACCAACGGGACACGCCGCAATTGCGCCATGGCGGCTCGACCTGTGCATCTCTTCAATGGGCCCACGGCGGCGAGTGCAATCTGACCACGGCCCAGAGTCGCCCCACAGCCGTCGAGGGATACCCACGAAACCGGCCAGAGGCCCAACAAATCTTTCGCATTTCCGCAGAGTGTCTCCAAAGGTCCCCGCGAACTCCCCGGAGGCGCCCGAAAAGCCAACGCAGTGCGCTCACAAGAGGCCTCCGACGACGCCCCACCAGCCGTCCGAGTCGTCACGCGCCCACAGCCCCAGGCACGTCGCCACGCGGAGTGCAGCAGGCCTTGCGCACAACAAGCAGGGTGCCATGCCGTGCTTCCGCCTCACGAGGCGTGACTCGGCGGTGCGCACAAGAGGGGGTGGAGGGAGGGGGGAGGGCTTCTTAGAAGGAGGCTGCTTCTTAGAAGGCGCCGGCCTTACGTCAATAGATGGGGCCCGCGCCCTCTAAGAAGCAGGGGTGCTTCTGAGAAGCCCTTCCCCTCCCCCCACCCCCCTCTGCGCGTAGCTGAGTGACAACGTGACTCATCGAACGAGCGTGGTCGTCGTCGTCACGCCAACACCAGCACGCCATGCTTCCCTGCCGCCGTCCCCAGGCGTGGCCACGCGAGGGTAATTTGTACGCTGCGTGCTGCTCCTGCCCCGCTGCCCCCTTGAGCCGTCGACGGGTCCCGCGCTACTCGTGCTCCTCCTCCTCCTCCTCCTCTCCTCCTCCTCATCTCCTCCTCCTCCTCCTCCTCCCCCTCCCCCTCCCCCTCCCCCTCCCCCTCCTTCCTCCTCCTCCTCCTCCTCCTCCTCCTCCTCCTCCTCCTCCTCCTCCCTCCTCCCTCCTCCTCCTCCTCCTCCTCCTCCTCCTCCTCCTCCTCCCTCCTCCTCCGCCTCCTCCTCCTCCTCCTCCGCCTCCGCCGCCTCCGCCTCCTCCGCTCCTCCGCCTCCTCCCCTCCTCTCCTCCTCCTCCCTCCTCCTCCTCCCCTCCATCCTCCTCCTCCTCCTCCTCCTCCTCCTCCCTCACTATCCTCTCCTCCCTCCTCCCCTCCTCCTGCCCTCCCCTGTTCCTGCTCCTGCTCCTGCTCCTGCTCCCTCCTCCTCCTCCTCCCTCCTCCCTCCTCCTCCTCCTCCTCCTCCTCCTCCTCCTCCTCCTCCTCCTCCTCCTCCTCCTCCTCCTCCTCCTCCTCCTCCTCCTCCTCCTCCTCCTCCTCCTCCTCTCCTTCCTCCTCCTCCTCCTCCTCCTCCTCCTCCTCCTCCTCCTCCTCCTCCTCCGCCTCCATCCTCCTCCTCCTCCTCCTCCTCCTCCTCCCCTCCTCCTCCTCCTCTCTCCTCCTCCTCCTCCTCCTCCTCCTCCTCCTCATCCTCCTTCTCCTCCTCCTCCTCTCCTCCTCCTCCTCCTCCTCCTCCTCCTCCTCCTCCTCTCACGTCCTCCTCCTCCTATTCCCCCCCGCCAACAATTTCCGCCGCTGCCCCAGGCGCTGCCACGTGGGGGGTCGTGCACCGCGCATCGATGTGATGCTCCGCTCCCTGGTCCTTCTGGAGTGTCAAATCGACGCGGAAGGAGGATCCTGCGCGCTGGCCTGGGTCAATGCAACCCTGGCCTTGCCCGGAGCCTGCAAGATCTGGCGCTCTGGCTGTCCCCCGTCTGCATTGACCCCCGCCTCGAGGCTCCCGAGGGGGGTTCTCAGAGGCCCGCCCGGCCTCTGCGAGGAGCTCTCAGAGAAGCGCCCTCCGCCTCCTCGGAAGGCCACGCACCTCGCGACGCCCCCCTCTGCGGGCGCCGCCGAGAGAAGGCGCAGCAGCTGGGGAGCCCACAGAGAACGCACGAGCCCAACTTCGGCGGCAGCTCATGAGAGGCTCCCGCACCATCTTGTCGTCTCTTGCGAGTCGACGCTAATCGATGCTGGTCGCCGCTAATCGAGGCTAGATCGACGCTGCATCGACGCTAATCGACGCTAGCCGACGCTAAATCGGCGCTATCCCATCGACTCCCAAACGCGAGTCGACGCTAGTCGACGCCAAAGACGGAACCGAGAGGATACACCGGGCTCCCATGATTTCCTGCCGAAACCATCCACACACACGAGCACGGCCCCCCGACCCGCGAGACCGGCCTCGCGATACGAACGCTCGCACCGCACGTGCTCTCGAAACCAACGTAGGCTCTCATGCACCCTGGGCAGCCGGGAGGAGGGCAGCCGGCCGCGAGTAGGAGACCGACCCCGGGCACGAGCGACCCCTGGCGCGCGCGCGGCTCGGGGGGGGCGCGGCGGGGCCAGGCTCGAGCCGGCAAGCCAGCTCAGGCCAGTGCCAGGGGCGGGGGTCGACTTCGACCCCCCCCCTCTGGAGCCCTCCAAGCCAGTCACACCCAGACTCACACTCAGACTCACTCGCACTCAGATCCACCCATCATCAGACTCACCCGCTCTCACTCCCGCATAGTCAGACCAACCTTTACCCAAACTCACTCATGCTGGTCGGGGCCGCAGAGGGCCCGCACCGAAGGTCACCGCGGCGAATCGAGAGGGCGTGCGTCCAAGAGGCGGGGGCGCAAATCTTGGCCGGCGGCGCGGGCGCGGCCCCGGGGGGGGGGGGGGCCGGGTACGCATTGAAAGAGTAAGAGGCGCCAGAAAATCTGAGAAGATCTCATGGCCCACTCGCGGGCGCCCCCGAACTCCGGCGAAGCGCCACTCTTGCGCCGCGAAGCCGGAGGCGGCACCGACCAGCAGCCCGGGAGGAGCTCGAAAAGCCAGGCTCCCGGCGAGACACGTGAGCCGAGAAAGGCTGCAAGGACTAGGCTACCCAATTGCCTGCGTCAATTCTGGCTCACTCGCCGTCTTTAGAGATTCCGTCTCCAAAATACACTCGCAGGCGCTCCTCATCGGGCGTCAATTCGCCTTCGAGCGCGCACAATACGCAGGCGGCACGCGAAACATACGCAAGCGGCACGCGAAACGTAATTGCTGGGGGACCAGGCGCGCATGGCAGCCGCTCAGCATGGGGACGGCACATGCCAGGCCCGACAAAGGCTGGGCGTGCGCACACACATGCGTGGCCGCCCTGGCAAACCGAACTTCTCCTACTCCCTCCTCTCTTTCTCTCTCTCTCTCTCTCTCTCTCTCCTCCTCCTCCTCCTCCTCCTCCTCCTACTCCTTCTCCTCCTTCTCCTCCTCCTCCTCCTCCTCCTCCTCCTCTTCCTCCTCCTCCTCTTCGTCCTCCTCATCCTCCTCGTCCTCATCCTCCTTTCCTCCCACCCTGCTCAGGTGCTACATCAGCGCGTACCTCCCTGACTGGAGGGCGCACGCAGGGAAGTCAAAGGGCAGACGCCCCTGAAGACTT